CCACAACGCCTGGCTATTTTTTGGTTGCAGCCATCATCGTTGTTTGGCGGGTCCGGGCTGGGGATTCGAACCCGACAGCTTAGGTGTACGTGGCTGGCGCCTTAGCCGGTTGAGCTATAGGCGCCGAGCCTATACGACTGTTTTGATGTTACAATTCTTATTTAGTAATTGTTAGGAAACAGTTAAGGCAGGAATTGTATTCTGATGGCCATCTCAATTTTCAAATGATCCTATGAATTGAAAGTATCTTTAAAGTATACGTTTTCCTTTCGTATTTATTAAAAAATACCTGTGAGAAGAAATTAGAAGATCGATGTAATTGTGCTGGTCAGACAAATAAGTCACTTAGCAGACAAAACACTTAGTCACAGTAGAATAACTTTCTGCATAACTTGTAGCTGCCTTTGCCTTAGCGATCAGAAATCCTGGTATTTCTGAACCTTTTTGTCATGAAAGCAAGGTTCTTCTGTGCAGTCATCAGATTCTTGCCTGCAGGTGAGGGGCTTGAATGCAGTGATGAATGAAGTGATCTGTAAAAAAGGTGGAGAAAGGGTGAGGACAGAAGTAAATGCCCCAGCCTGGTGCAGCAGCGGCACCTCGGGAACTGTCTGGGGAGCGTGCTGGCAGTGGACACCCGAGATGTGTGGAAAGCATCACTTCATCATCGCAAGAATCCAGGCATTTGCATATGCTGAGTTCTCAGACGTGCTTCTTTTCATTGTAGAATAGAGACATTTATTCGTGAGGAAGAATAGAAAGGAAGTAATTATGGAATTTCCCCCAAGGTCTTATTTTACACAACTTGTGTTAAAAGAGTGGAAATACATAGACCACAAAGATTTTTCTGTTGTCCTTAATTACAAAGCTACTTCTCAAAGAGTATTCTCTGGAGGTGAATGCTGGTAGAGTTAAGGTTTTATTTCATTCAAAAAGTTACCATCCCAGAGCTTCTGCTCTGCCGCTTGCTAAGACTAGGGGAAATAAAAGTCACTGATTGTTTTTGTTAAAGCTCAGTTACTTCCCAAAGAAGTGGGCTATGGTAAGTTAGTGTTAAAAAACTGATCCAAAAGATCCACTAACATCCTCAGCAGTGCAGTACTCTGGGATGGAGCCGAGGGGTGGAAGCCATGGTGTTCTAGAGGGGTACCACCCAAAATCAGAGTAGAATGGGGCTGATCTCGGGATACGATGAGGGCCAAAATGTACTCATTTACAGAAATATGGCCAAATATTGCTTGCTTACGTCAATCCACATCTCTTTATAGCTAACTATTCTCAATCCCATGACCGAAATGGAAGCTAAGTTTAGCAAATTGTTTGGCCGTTTATGTTTAGTGCACACAATTCTTAATTAACAAAGTAAAATGCCACAATCCATTGTAAATCACGTTGCTAAACTTTCAAACTTAATAAGGAATTTTGCCTTGTCCAAAAGCTACTTTCAAACCCCTGCTGATCTGGCACTCGCGTATGATTCCCCATGGAGCTTAGTGAGAGGATGTAAAGGGAGCCAATTAAAGAAACTTTGAGCCAGAACAGACAAGCAGAGGCCATCCTGTCCATCCTTCTGCCTCCAGGCAAAAACCATCCACTGCAACACAAATTTTTGCTTGAATCTTGCTGACAAAAATGCTCACCACATGTAAATGACAAGTCATAATCCAGTTATTGCAACTAAAGCAGATTGTTAACTGCTCGAGACTTATTTATTGTATTCTAAAGATGCTGAGTACGAAAGCTTATCTGAATTGTCTTAATTCTCCCTTTCTGGAAAATTATTTTGTACCAGAAACGTACTTAAAATAATTGCAAAGATGGGGGAGGTCTGTGTCCAGGAAATCAAGTTATCCCCATCATCATATTAAATGTATTTTTGGTCTCCTTTCACTCTAGGTTTACCTTATGGGTGGGAGGAAGCTTACACAGCAGATGGCATCAAGTACTTCATCAAGTAAGTACATGCATCTCCACCAAGTAAGCAATTTTCTTCACATCTGGAGAGAACCTGGAAGTTGCAGAATAATCAGCAAAACCAAGAAACCTTCTCAGAGGTTACAAAAATTAGTAACAAGAAATGAAGCCTCACCATTTTCAATTCATGTGATTTAAATGCTAATATCAGATATCATGTGGGGAAAAACCTGGTAATAATTTCCAGGGAAACATCCAAAAATTGGAACAGAATCATCCTTCGAACTTAAATGCTGACTGCCTTGAATGCACTTGCTAGCGAATAGTATTAATATTTATGAAAAGTTCGTTTCTAATGGAAAATCTTAAAAATTCTTAATACTAGTAATCATCAATATTTTTTAATGCTTTAAATACACACACTTCATTCATTCTGCAAATATCGGGGGGGCTTTTGCTGTTACCAGACAGTGCTCTATGCCCTAGAGGTATGGTAGGGAAAGATACAGACTATTTTCCCAATACGATGGAATTTATATAACATTGAGGAAAAATAGTCAATTAATAACTTAATAGATAAATAAGACAGTATATAAACAAACCTTGCCTCAGTGGATTCTTAGAACAACCCCTTGAGGTGTGTGTACCTGTCATTTTTCCTCCTTTATTTTGTTTTTTGGTTTTTGGTTTTTTTTATTGCCCTTGGTAGAGTGCTGTGGCATCACAGCTCACAGTAACCTCCAACTCCTGGGTTTAGGCAATTCTCTTACCTCAACCTCCCAAGTAGCTGGGACTATGGGTGCCCACCACACCACCCAGCTATTTTTTTTGTTGTTGCAGTTTGGCCAGGGCCAGGTTTGAACTCACCACCCTCGGTATATGGGGCTAGCACCCTCCTCCCTGAGCCACATTCTTTCTCCTTTATAGATGAAGAAAATAAAAGCCTTGAGTAGTTGCAAGAAAATCAACAGCTACTAAATTACAAAGCCAGAGCTAGAATCAAGGTCTTCTGACCCCAAGACCTTTAGAGACCTATTTTTGAAAGCCTGAACAGGAATACATCTTCTAGCTACTGAAATGCTTAGTTTTACTATGGACAAACCAGGGTCTACCTCTATACCTGGTAGGTAACTTCTTTCATATCAGAACTGGCATTATGAATACACCAGGGGAATCCCAATAGACTCCCAAGGTCATGTGAGACCTCCTTGTGTATCCCGTTAGCAAATTATACTTGGTATGCATTTGGGGAGGAAAAGGGAGACATACCATTGCTGTCCTTTGAGATGTGTGGTCAAAACACTTTGTTTTTGTAAAACAAGGCTATGTCCAGATTCCTGATTCTTAAGCCCTTTGACTTTACACAGTTTCTTACATCTCCCTTAACCTCAGTTTCGTGATCTAAGGTAAGGGGACTATTACCTAGTTTAGAAAGTTGTTAAATGTCAAACACCTATCATAGAACTCTGGACACAGTGTATGCCTGATAGGCATCAATAATTTATAGTATGGAGAAACCAACATTATGGAGGGGAAACCCTGAAAAATCATATGACTGTTAGAAAGACTGAACATTCAAAAGCTTTGTATTTGAAAATATTTAAGAAAAAAATAGGGACAAACCTGGCAAAATGTTTTCATGGTATATTTTTTCCTGCTGGTCTCTAGCAAAAAAAGCGATTAATAAAGCAAAGGTGTTGTTTATAACATGTGAAGGAGAAAGGCACGTGTGGAGCAAGGACCCAGGAATTCTGTGTATAGATTCCATTTAGTATCACACTACTTGCTTCCAGAATTATCTCTCTCCTGGAAGGGAACTTGCTCTCTGACTTACTGGACTAATGATGTTTAGTTCCTGTTTGAATCACTGTACTGTAGGAATATAGCAGAAAAATGAAAAACTATATTCAAATTTGGGTTGGGTTTCTTTCTTCCTATCTTAACCGTATTCAAGCATCAAGACTTAGTTTTGTTTAACTGTTCTTGATAGAAGTCTTACGTTAATGAGTGTTACAGACTTCCCTGCCTTCTTGTGTGGAGGCCACTGGACAAAATCCTTATGAATGCCCATTATTAGACGTCATACAGTAAGTTCTGCAGGAGTTGTTAAATGGATAAACCAGAGTAGAGACACAGCTGTCATCTCTCCCTCTTCTCAAGGTGCCATCTCTAAGGTGGCTTCCTCTGCACAAGCCACCCTTTCCCCAGCAGTTTCTTATTTGAAAAGGACAGGAAACCAGATTGTCAGGCTAATGGGAATTGCTTATAAAGAGTTCTTGAATGTGGGTCTGCAAGGGTGCTTATGTGAATCAAGTATGTAAGTGCTGGTGCAGGTGGATTTGATTACAGGAAAGGCATCTGATATAAGGGAAGTAGAGCATGGGCTTTGGACTTGGAGAAACTTTGATGAAAATGCTGCTGTCTCCACAGGACAGCTGAATACCCTTCGGCACATTGCTTAATCTCCCTGGGCTTCGCTTTCCAAATGTATAACATGGACAGTGCATTGTCACTTCGTAGGGGTCCTGTCCAGAATGAATGAGCTTACATACGTGAAGCGTCTATCACAGCCTCTGGCCCAGAGTAGGCACTTTCAGCAGAGGCTGGCCTTCCTTGCCTCTTACCCCGACTCTAAGGTTTCGGTGAGGGGGGTTCTTCATGGCTCCTGGCTGCACTCAGTTAGGCAGTATTGCCAGATGAGTAAAGTCTGCATAAACAAACACCTCTGACTTTTTAGTATTTAGTTTTTGGTGGTTTTTTGTTTCTTTGTTTGTTTGTTTGTTTTTAAACTTTATCCTCTTACTACCCCAACCCAAAGTTTGAGCCTGACATGTGATAGCTTTTGAGGTGAGAGCGGTTCATTTACCAGGTGGATGATACTGTGAAGGCAAGAAATAGCAAGTAATAAACTGGGATCTTTATTTCTCTCACCTCTTCTTAAAAAGAATGGTGACTGAAGTCACCTTCCCAGAACACCAGAGGAGGCGACAGTCTGTATACATATAATCTCTTCCCTGAAATTGGCATCTGTCACTGTCTTCCCAGAAATTGAATTGTTATAATACATCTGATGGAAGCCGAGCCTCAGGCAAGGGAATAACTGTCAGTGCTGTCCCAAGGGAGTCCAGACAAGCATGGTCCTCATTGAGTATTTTTATCCATCCACATGTCCATTACACATCTAATAATGCTCTATCATCTGCTTAAGTGCTGATGTAAGAGGAGAAAGCATTTTTCCTGGTGTAAACAAATTTAATTAGTGCTGGCATTGCTAGAGCCAGTGTTTCATAGAACTAATAAACTTATATGTCTCTCTGTGTGTGTATGTGGGCAGGGTTACTCATTTGCCATATGTACACCTCCGTGTGTGTGTGTGTGTGTGTGTGTGTTTGTATAATGTATCAGTGCACAGTAGGAGATACTTTATTTTTTCCTTAAAAAGAGGCTTATAGCATTCTTAATTTTAATAATAAAATGTCCATTATTTGAAGGTGCTATAGTGAAATTATCTGATTAGCTTAACCATTTTTCCACCCACTTTTTCATCTTCCCTTTGAAATTGGATACTATTACAGATTTATCATAGCTTTTGTTATGATTCCACTTTATATTTTTTTTTCTTTGCAGTTTTTGGCCAGGGCTGGGTTTGAATCCGCCACCTCCTGCATATGGGGCCAGTGCCCTCCTTCTTTGAGCCACAGGCGCTGCCCTGATTCCACTTTAAAAGTTCACATACTTTGGCCAGGTGCAGTGGCCCACACCTGTAATCCTAGCACACTAGGAGGCTGAGGCTGGTAGATTGCTTGAGCTTAGAAGTTTCAGACCAGCCTGAACAAGAGGGAGACTCCATCTCTACTAAAAATAGAAAAAACTAGCAGGGTGTGGTAGCTCATTGCCTGTAGTCCCAGCTACTCAGGAGGCTAAGGCAAGAGGATTGATTCCTTGAGCCCAGGAATTTGAGGTTGCTGTGAGCTGTGATGCTAGGGCACTCTAGCCTGAGGCAACAGAGTGAGGCTCTGTCACCAAAAAAGCAAAAAAAAAAAGAAAAGTTCACATACTTTATATGCATGTTACATAATGTAACAAAATTATTATAAGAGGCATCAAGTTTATTAGTAAAACTGAATTTAAATTTTATAAATGAGATATAGCTGTTAATTGCTTTCATTGAATTCAATATCATGAAAAGATTCAGATTCATGCATTAATTCTCTACTTCCACATGATAAATTTCTATAAATTTTTGCAGCCTAAAACTGTATTTTTCTCACTCGATTTCCAAACATCAGGAATCCAGAAGTGGCTTCCCTGACTTATTCTGGGTCTCTGGAGTTGTAGTGAAGCTGTTAGCCAGGGTGGGGAATTAAAGAGTGGTTTAGTGGACTAGCTGGAATATTTGTTCCAAGCTCACTGATGAGACAGGAGGGTGTTGGCACCACGTCACAGGCACACAGGGCTGCGCACAGTATGGCAGCTGCCTTTTCCCAAAGCAAGAGATGAAGGGGACAAAGACAAGAGCTTCAGTGTTTGTTGTAAGCAGTGTCAGGAGCGACTGATCCGCCATCACTTCTGTCATATGCTGTGGGTCACACAGACCATTGCTGGTACAGCGTGGGAGGCGACTACTCAGGTGCCAATACCAGGAGATGTGGGTCACTAGGAGCCATCCCGGAGGGTGCTGCCACATGCCAAGTCACAGTGTGTGTTAGGATTATATAATGTAGATATGTGATCCGGGCATCTATATAAATAACACAGAATTATCAATGAATATTTACTGTTAGTGATTTTTCAAATAGAAAAAAATCATTTCTATTTTTAAAAATTTCTTAAACTTGGCTTGCAATTCTCCCTGCATTCAGTTGTGTTGAAAGGGCTTTCTATCAGATCCTAAGATATTGGATCCATCCTCCAAGATATTGTTCCACCTGTTACAAATGCAGTTCTTCATCACATGGGAAGTATTTTAAGAACATTATAAATGAGTAACAGTAGAACCTAGGGAAGTCTATCTGATTTTTAAATAGAGGAAAAGTTTTT